TTTACAAAAGCGATGTATCCTATGAAAAATAGATTTTGTTGCATTGTCAAACAAGCAATCACTTAAAAGTTTGGTTTTAAACTAATCGCCAAAAGATGATATTCGCAAGAAATTTCTAAAGACCTAAATTTTGGAAACCGATTAGGCCTTTTGCCCGATGTTTGCTTAAGCGAGTCTCCTAATTAGAGACATTTTTTAAATCATCAAATTGCATGTTCACTGTCCTAGATCGTCAAGCGTGCGTCCAAACTGCAAGTGTTGGCGTTTTACATAGGACCTCCTTGTTTCTATCCTCGAAAGTTTCCAACAAGGAATGAAACTGCAGCCTCTCAGTCATGGCTCATATCCGGCTTTCTTTCAGGTCTATCAGTGTGCCGAAAGTCATGCTACACTTGCACTCCACACTTGGAGAAAACAAGTAGCTGCACTTTATTTTCAAATCTACACAAGCGATGTCAAAAGTTAGGGATGGGGAACAGGAAATGTGAGATGATGTTAAAAATGTCACTTTACCTGGCTCAAGAGGCATGAAATGGTCCTCGTGAAGATTCCCTGGCTTGCCTCGTAACTCGTTCAGCCCATCTTAATAGAAAGAATAAATTGAAAAAGTAGAGTTGACTTTGAAGTATTAAAGTGGTGGCAGGAAGCTATAACTGTTAGCTGTAACTCAATGAATGCTCGATAAGTAATAGGGATATATCGAGTCATATCTCTCACTTCACCACCTTTTGTTGATGGTTATGGAGTGTTAGTGTGTGGAAAAAGAGGCAGTTGAAACATTTGGAAGTTTAAGGGACCCATGACTTGGTTTCAGTCTAAAGTCGCACCCTACTGGCATCATGCATTTTCACTTAGTTTGGCTGGTTGGTTCTTCTTGGCGTCCTACTTAGTAAAAGTTATTTTCGAGTGACTTGGTTGATGAGTCAAGTCAACCAGCTTTTCACCCGGCTTAAAATGCCGCAACTATTTCAGCCGGAACGGTTTGAGTGATGCTGAATTGGGAAACCTTAACCCACCAGCTCATGTCCAAATTGTTGTAATCTTTTGTCACTTAGAGTCCTTTGCGAAAGATTTGAGTTTAGGAAAAAAGTCAGCGTCTGGGTTGCTGGCACAATCATAACTTCTGTGTCACACAACCATGTCTATTTGGAAGTCATCTTTCATTTCGTGCATATTCTAGTATCCCTGAGACAGCTAAGGTCCGTGGTTACTCACTGACAAGTAGATTTTCTGCTTAGGAATCTACTCACTTTCTTTAGGAGTCTGAGTATCCAAATCGGGAAATACTCTTGAGTTCTTGAAAACTTCTTTGGTTTCGTCTGTGGAGAGAGAGTTAATCTTTATGAGGATCTTCAATAAAGGAGATGAAATTCATGGACAGCATGGTATGAGAAAAGATGAAAATAAAAAGACTTCGAA